TTGCTTGCTTGCTTGCTTCCTTCCTTTGAACTTCGAGGTGAAATGTGGTCTTTCGTGTTTGATATATCACATCAAACAAACGGAACATGAAAGACCATTTTCATCATCACAATAACTTTATAACTACACTGTTAGTTGGTAAAGGTTGTCCGTAAAAGCTAAGGGAAAAGTTGTTTAATTAATTTATTTAAAGGATAGAACATGCGCGCTAAGAGTTGGTTTAAAATCCTTCAAGGTGCTTATCTGTCTTAGTTTTAGTGGCAGAGCGTTTTAGTCTTAGACAGACTAGGACTGAAAAAAAGTTTCGGTTTGCCAGTCAATCTAGAACACAGTGTACGGAATTGAAAGCAAAAGAGAAGACGATGTGGGTGGAAGGTCAAATAAAAACAAATGATGTATGGAAGACACAAGTGATTCCTGTCAAATCGTCTGTTGAAGATCCCAGATGTAGCTCATTCAAGTTGCTACACCGAAATGGCTGATAAATACTGAGCACTAGGCTACTTAAAACACTTTTATGATATTAAATAGCAATGTTTAATTCATAGTACTACAATTCATACCCCTTGTTACCGAGTCTGATTCGGATAACAAATCTGGCCTCTGGCGATGTCAGACCGGCGTCCAGGTGAATAACTGCTTGATATTTACCTCTAGTCATCAGATCATCTGGAGGGTGGTTGAAGTTTAATTCTGAAGCTTTTATATTTCGGTTATCGTCATGATTGTCGTACGCTGTCACATTTTTGAAGTATGGCGTTCTGTTGCCTAATGTGAAGTCGAGAATCTCTATAGAACCTGAATAGACAGGAACAGCGAGATTAGTTTGTTTGTACACGTGATAGGGACCCGGAAGGAAGTAAAAGGAAGAAACTGGTGCAGACTCGATTTGAACGGACGATCGCACAATATCTGCTGACGCTCATTATTTGGTGATCTTTTTTTCCGGTTACATGAAAATGAGGCTGTACATTGCGTCAGAAAGGCAAAAAATGGGGTTTCAGAGGCAAGGTGTGCAGAGGAATAGCCTGATTTTGAAGATGAAAACCTGACGCTCGTTATTCAATATGGCTGCTACTGATGTTACTTGAGAAAAGTTTCTGCGAAAAATACTAGCTGGAGATGTCCTTTCAAGTTGGCTTAATCGTTAAGAAAGGCATTTGCAAACCCTGCAACCATGGTGTTGTCACAATGGAAAAATACTTGGACCCTTTAAAAGTTAGACTTTTTCCCAAATAAATGTAGGGAATAAATAGGAAAAATGATCAATCAATAAAGAAACAGGATCACCAAACGTCCGAGATCGTGAAGTAGATGCACGCAAAATTTCTACAGAGGTGTCCAGTTCGATAGTTAACAAGTTTTTACCTCAGCGCGCGCGCACGAAGTTTCTCATGGCGTGACATTGAAGCATTCCAGCGATGAACAAATAAGCATGCGCACAAACCACCCTTACCTACATATGACGGCTTGTGTGACTGGAGTATAGGTTCCAGGTTTCTCTTGATGCAGCTGAGCAACGATCTATCGCTAAAGACAAACCTACAAGAAAACTGACGATTACTTAAGTGAAGCGCTATAACTGCGCACGCCTCAAGAATATGGTCAAAATGGTACCCGGATTCCATTTTGCGCCGTGGCCCGTGGGATACCTGGGTGTGAGAGTAACCAATTTTACTTTGTTTCTGCGACCCAAAGTGTTTTAAAGTAAAGTTTTACATACGAATTAAGCATCAAAATAATTATAAACCAGTCGATTGGTGAGAGATACTTAGATTACTTGCATGTAAGAGGAAAGAGACTCAACGTCTTTTGTCCTAAACTAATTACTCTTACAATATATGATGTTTCGTTTGCACTTCCACACAAAATCTTTACACCTCGAAGACTTCTTTGCAAAGTCTTCTCACTTCAACACAAAACTTTCAATCAATCAATTTCACTTTATTAAAATCTAAAAGAACAAATCACTCTCAAAGTAGACCTGTGATGGAGGAAATCAATTACGTCTGGCGCGCTATTATTTCGTGGTAAATAATTTATAATGTTTTTTAAAGATAAAACCCTATTGAAGTTATACTGAACAGTAATTTTGTGGAACATGAGAGATAAAATTCAATAACACATAAATGAAAAGAAGATATGTTGACTTGGACATTTCACCTGGGTTAAAATCGTGAACAGGACTCATTTCAAATAAAGATGCCTAAATTATGCGGCCTACGTTTAATTTAATCACAGTAGGTCATAAAATATTCAAGGCCTTGTATGATTATTTCCTGAAAATGCGACTGCTGAGGTACGTTTCTTCGTCACAGATAGGATTGAGAAAAAGAAAACAAGACCACGATTTGAAGTAACCTCGAACTTAAATTTATCAATAACTTTAAAACGAGTCACATGACTGGCATATTAAAGAAACGTTTTGCCTCTTAAAAAATCTAGAACTGTCAAAACTTCCGCGAAGAAGTAGTCCTCGATTTGTCTTTGTATGTAACACGCTTGCTGTGGTAAATTCCAACTAAATGATTGTGTGTTGTCTAAGGAAAGAAATTTCCCACCCGAAAAACAAAGCAATGGAAAAACGTTTCTGGTAGAATTGCTTCATTAAAGTTTGAGGGACGCCATTCGTGTTAATCATGCCGGGTGAACTAATTTTAGATATAACTTGGATTTTACCAGGATAAATGTTCTTAAAAAAATCCATTTCGAAGAATTCTCAGGATTGAACCTAATAATTTCTCCTCTTTTTTTGTTGGTCGCGTTATATTACCCTGCGAGGAAGATACCAACTGCTCGCAGAGCATGTTATGTTGGAAAGTCATAAAAATCTATTTCACCCAGCAAGCAGACAGCAAGCTCCAGGAAATCATGAAAAATTTCTTTTCAGGAGAGTAGCCAGAATATTTTTATCCTTGTTTCCCTCTGAATAGAAACAATACGATGTGATTTCTGTTTAGACTGGTTTAAGAAATTCATTACATTTATCCTTTGAACTTTCTGACATAGTAATGAAAGCAATGAGATGCGTTCTCTATGGTAATCAGTCAGTCTTAAGAACGGGGCGACCTTAACAGCGCTGACTTGCTGCAGCACGCACTTAAGAAAAAAAGAAAGCCCGACAGCGAGATAAATGCAATTCAGTTCTTTCTCACACTTACCATCGGTTGATCATGAAGTTTAACCATTCTGTTGTTTCGGCATTCGACAATGCTTTTTCTCGCCTCTTATCAATCTCAGCTTGCTTTGCAGCAAGATCAATTACTTTTGTAGCGGTGTTTTTCCACCAGAAAAAGATCCAAGCAAGCAGAAAAAAAATCCATGATATGCTTACATCAGTCTTTCCAAGAAGCCAGGCTATGACGGTGAATATAAGCATGGATAATAGGAGTCTTTGGTGTTGATCTGCGCGATGCTGCCTTCGTCTCTGATCCTCAGCACCTGAACATTGTTTTGATGCCAATTTCTCGCCATCTTTATTACCGATTTCTTTTTCTTTTCCTTGCGTCATTTGAAACAGAGCGTTATTTTTGACAACCTCGCTGAAAACTCAAATCAAATCACTCTCGATCGGGCGCCTTTAATATCGCCGATAAGGAGGACTGTTTGTTTTGGTTTGAACGCTGTTACTTCTAATAGTCCTCGTGCAGAAGTTTCGTTCGCTCCGCACCGCAATGTAAATTTGAATGATTATTGCTGCAAGCAAACGCATTACCATTGGCTAATACCTTGGGGCATCAATTTAACAATAAGATCACGGCCTCGGAACAAATGTCACACGTTTATCCCACAACAAAAGAGACAAAAGGAGGGAATCTTTGTTCAATGAACAGAATCAATTATTGATTAAGAAAATTGCTAGCTATGTGCTCGTTGTGTTAGCACGGTTTATAAGAGTGTTTTATTTATAGGTTAATGAACATCATATAGAGTCCAGGCAGACGGCTTTTGAAAGTCGTTTTAACTTGTAAGATATCATCTGAAGTTGCGCCATTTTTCTCAGTAATGTGTACACAAACGGCAATGGTTTCGCAGTTCGTGATTTGAAATCGATCGCCGCACAATCTGCTTTTCTAGATGGCTATAAACAATTAGTTTGAATTAGTTCCTTATTCCCGATTCGTGGAATTTTGTCTTTTTCCTCAGAGGTTGTGCATTATATCCAGTTCAGCTGGTCAGCTATTGGCATACTAAACCTGCTGAAATATTTATACATATCTCAATTTGAAGTTGTCACAATGTCTAGGTAGCTTGAAATTGAAAACCTTCGTTTCGACGTTTGAGCCTCTGTAATCGTTTTCCAGCACGAACTTTGATCAATTTCTAAATCAAAATTGCTAAATGTTTCGAAGAAAACTCGTTACAGTTTATATTCTTAAATAACATTCGGGATTAAGTGATCGCGGTAAAGAAAAACCAAACCCAAAACATTCGGAAAAAACTAAAATATGTAAAGCAAAGAGGGAGTGTATGTGATGGGGGTGGCGAGGGTGCGGTGGGCTATTGGTTATCACACTGGACACTAGAATTGAATTCGAGAATGATTACAGTTGATGAAGTGAGACAATGGGGAGACACCTGATGACAACTTATATACCGTGTAGTATTGGGGCATGTCCACACTACGCCGGAGAAATTTCTAAAATTTCAAAACGCAGCTTTATTTCTACGGTTAGGCCTACCATCCAACACTTATCCATCGCGAAAACGGAGCTTTTCGAAAACGCTCTTCAAACCGGAGGAATTTGAAAACGCCGGCTTCGCGTTTTAGTGTGGACGGAAAATATTTTGAAAATGAAGTTTTTAGAAAACGATGAGATGACGACAATCATGTGATTTCCATGAGCGAGTTTTCTCACCCGAATCCAAAATGAGGGTTGCGTCATCAAATTTCTCCGGCATTCAACAAGGGCGAATGAAATAATTGCGTTATTAAATTTTTCTTAAGTTATAAATCGACTGAATGATGTGGACATTTCAGTGTGATCTAAACGAAGTGATGGTGTGAAAAAGCGGCAAAATTTCTGCGTGGTGTTCAGTTTTAAGTTGAATGAAACATGTGATGAGAGCGATCGATACAGTTTTCCGATATAATAATTCCTCACAGAATCTCCGCTTAAGTCTTCCCTATTCTGGAAAATTGTGTTAAGAGATATAGCTGTTACGAGAAGATCCGAAGTAATTACATGTCGTCACATGTAGCAAAGGTTTACCCTTGTACGGTCAGCTGTTGTCAAGACTACAAGTTTGTAAGAGTCTGAAACTGTGAGAAAAAGCCTTTTTAAATAAATGTTTCGTATTTGAGTTAAATGGTTACATTTTGTGACTATTTTCTTAGTTTCTGGGACCGCATTGTCCAATATTCCTTGTTTATCCGTAGCCAGTTCCATGCTCTCAGTCACTAGGGACGATCAAAAAAGCGAAAGAAGAGCTTCTGGGAGAAAATAAGGAAAAGATCCTACGAGGAAAAGAATTCTCTGGCATCCTTTGGTTGCACTTCTTGTAAAGTGATTAAATTTACTGAGAACCTATGCCTTTCTTCTAAATTACCACAAGCAAAAAGATAAGTACCTAGGCTCTCAAATTTGCTTCTTTTAATTTAAATTAATTGATCCCGACTGTTATTTTATTTTTGCTTTCTTTGTCTGGAGTACAAAGTGCGCTCAACCCTGACACTTCTATATGGGCGATCATTTTCACATTCTCCTTACATTATAAATACAGAAACTAGCAGACGGGTGTCGAGAATAAACAACTTCATCAACTTGAAGATCTGGTGTTAACGTTCCACTAACTTGATTCTCGGATCTAACATATGACAACTGTGCGTGGTCCATACTCATTTGTAATTGACTCGCCTGCCTTGAATGTAAATTATCGTAAAGATTGGTCCTCATCACGTACAGTAAAAACCTGAATGTAAAAACCTACTTGTTTAAGAACCTGCTGGCAGAAATTTGCCATTTTAATACCCAAAAATATAAGAACCTGTTTAGCCAAGCAAGATCAAGCAGGTTCTTTTATGTAGGTTACAGCTAAATTATGACAAACATTTTAATCAAGGAGTGTGACTGAGATTGTAAATTTATATTACAAGAAAATACATAATACAGATGTGAATAAATACTGCATATTCAAGGCCAAACCCAAGTTCATTTATTTTTCTGGTATTCAGCAACTGTATCTCTTTCATAGATCTAATTAAGAAACTAGTTAGCCTAAATAGACCTTTCCCGCATTCCACTTCGGTGCGTTCGAACAATGGCACCAGAACGAGGTTGGGGTGGACATTTTCGTATTTACTGTATTTTTGTCCACCCTGACCTCGACTTGGCGCCATTGTTTGCTGGAATGCGGGAAAGGTCTATTGCCAATAACCACCCCAAAATACAAGAACCTCTTTTGCCAGACAAAAAATGTAGGTTCTTACGCGCGGGCTTTTACCGTATCTGAGTTAAAAAGCCTTCTGCAGTGTTCTGGGACACGCGCTTATTACAGGCAGTTTTCAGTGTATGTCCTGACGAAAAGCTCTATTTTCTATTGCATTAACCCCGCATAATGCAGACCCCTAAAAATGCAGTTAAGATACTTCCCTATGGCCTTGGCAATTGACATGCTCCCATACAAACATAGCCCGGCTCGCTTTACGAACACTTGTTATCTGTGCACTCTATATAAAATGAAAGCTTTCTACCAGTTATTGAGTTTGTTACTCACACGGCAGCATAGCAGCTTCACATGTTTGATAACTGTCTACGTTCAGCGGTGTGTGTGACCCTTGTAGACCTTAGTGCCGGACATTGACCGTCAATGTCCGGCAAATTCAAATAGGCTATTTGAATAAACGTATAAATGTTTATTCAATTTGAACTTAAGTTGCTCTTAAGACATCAAACATCGTTCTGTTGCTTTTGAATTGTGTACTGTTGTCTTTGTATTAATAAAATACGTTTCGGTTCCGTTTATTCAGAGACCCTGCTCAACGCGGAAACCCGGCGGAGTATAAATTGCTTGTCCCTTTGGTACCCTTATCGAGATCCTTATTAACCGGCAGTGTACGGAGTTTGTATCTGACCTCATGTAACACGGGAGATTTGTTCTTAAATTTTCTGATTCACTTATGACATGACGAAAAGTTTATCACTTTGTCTATGGCACACCAACTACGCAATTCGTTAAGTTTCTTCAAGTTGCAGAAAAACTAGATGAAATGATTTGCTTCGAGAGCATTCCATATCACATGACTACCCGTTGCATTTGTCTCGCTCGTGAAAACACAAGTCTGACATGTTACGTTCGTGTTTAAAGCCTTCCGTCTATTTATCTTGGGATTTTTTGCCAATAGAAAAAGTTAATTGATTCACATATTTCATTTCCGTTCTTCAATCGAGCAATAAGTTGTCTATGCAAATTCACACGTACATGGCGGGCCAAATGTGTCAAACAATAGTTGTCGTAACAACTGTTCGCCCAGGGAACAGGTCTATTCATTGTCCTTATTTGCATTTCATTTTTGTATTTCAAACACACGAGCTAATTTCAACCGCGAAGAAACCTGGTTCAGATAACAACCCAGTCAGTGGGATTTATCAACAGAGATTTTACTTTCAGTTTGGCCGATTTAGATAAGCGAATTCGTAAAAATGTGAATTATGCTTGGATGATCAAAGAAAAAACGAGCATATGCGTTGAAGCGTGAATACAGGGATGAATATTCTGCGTCGCAGTCTGTCACAACGGAACATCATCGACACTAAAACAGTAGCTCAATCTCCAAGCTCTTTCGTTGCTTTACTTTTTTCTCTATTTTTCAGTTTTAAATACAACTTTTCCTTAAACAGATGCCATTTTCGCTCGTATTTCCAGTCTGTTGTGAAGTACAATACTGTTGTGTCGAATATACACTTGACACTCACCGATAAGCTTTGCTGAAACAAAACGAATAATTGTGCTTTAAAAGAAAATTGCAGCCCTTCAGCTAAACTACAAAGTACATGCAGCTATACCGTCTTTCTGAACTACCATAAGTGAATTTCTAACGTCCTTATTAAATTCAATAACATCAGTCCTCAAATTGCACGCGAAAAAAAAAAAACAATTCAAAGACCTCGTGTCGGGACGATAATTCGCGGTGTAATAATACAATATTATGAAGATCTGTTCTCAGCCGTTCATGACATTCTTAACAAAATCCTCGTAGTTAATTTGTCCCTGGTTGTCCTCGAAGCCCTGAATTAGCTGGTCCACATCTTCATCGCGGAGTTTCTCCCCTAAACCTGTCAGGACGTGGCGAAGTTCGCCAGAACTGATGGTTCCAGAATTATCAGTGTCGAAAACTCTCAGGCTGTCGATGAACACGTCTTGACCGTATTTATGTTTCCGCGAGCGAAACGACATCATCACTGGTACAAACTCTTCAAACGAAATCCTCTTATTTCCTTTAGGATCGATTTCATTCAACACCTTATCAACTTCAGCTTGAGTTGGGTTCAGACCTACAGATCTTAGCACTTGTCCAATGCTGGATGATTCAACCTTGCCGTCTCCAACACTGTCGTACAATCCAAAGTTATCGCGGAGTTCGTCCATCTCTCGGTCTGTTAAAGTACTCGCCATTTTATTCCTCTGTTAATTTCTGAGAAGTAAGATTACATTGAGTAAATATAGAGTATTATGCCCCAGAATCTTACGCAAAAACTGCTGATAACACAATACACTTGCTGACACGGAACGCATGGCATTATGGTATAGCAGCATCACGTGATTTCAAATGTCACTGCTCATTTTGCATACAACCAACTTGCATTTGCTCATAACAGAGCTCAGTCATTTGAGTTATTTTGGCCTCGTACAAAATTTCCTTTAAGCTGAAGCAAACTTGAACATCGTAGCATACTAAGGTAGAAAACCACCAGATATAATAATGAACCATAAAGAAGCAAGGATGAATCAGGATGGAGAAGGTTAATAAGGATCACAAACGACGAACTTAAAACATTTGGCCTAAACTGTTCAAGAAGCGCTAACTGTCAGTGATGTAGCTTCTTTAAGAATCGTTGCAATGAGGACACTAGGGAACTTAAGCCTGAAAACACGACGACGACGGCAACGGGATCGTCACTAAACGAAAGGTTTAAAGGCCTCGCTAAACTAGCAAATATTGTTGCGAAACATTGTTGCAGCAAATGTTTTATGTTTAGCCACGCGGGAAACAAATGTTACGGAAACAAATTTTGCTGCTCGGAAACAAGAAAATGATTTTGCCTCAGCTCAAAAACACTTTTGCTTCCCAGACACAAACTTTGCTTCCAAAACACAAGTTTCCCAGCCTAGCCACCATGAAAACAATGCGGTTGACTGGTTTCCAGGGCCGCTCATTAACAATGGCTCCCAGCAATGACGAGCGTACATCAATGGCTGACGACGAAGCCGAAGCAGAAGAGCTACAAACAGGTCATAGAGAAGGGAAGGGAAAGAAAGAAAGGAATTGGAAGGATGAGGAAATAGACTTACTCATTACCTTGTTTGAGGACAAAGACTGTTAGTGGGATGTAGTTCATGAAGACCACATGAATAGGAACAAAAGGAAGTGGCTGTCACTGTCAAATCAATGCACACATGTCAGGGAAATATGGTATCACAATGGACGATTACAAAAACAAATAGTTTATACTAAGATCACAATTTACGGGGACGAGAATAATTATGCAAAAAGTCTTCCCCAGAATTTCCCGGAAGTTATTTTATTTTAATGCGCATGCGTGAACTTTTGTCTCCGAAACAATGTTTCCTCGTTTAGCCAGCGGAGCAGCATAACATTTTGTTTGCTTCCCGCTAATTTATGCACCCCGCAGGAAACATAACAATAATCAATGTTTTCCGCAACAATGTTTCCTAGTTTAGCCAGGCCCTTACGAGCAAAACAATAGCTGTGCACATGCGTTATAAATCTTTGTACATTTCTTTGCCGTCCTCTGCTAAACAAGAGCTGCGATTTTATGTTCAAGTTTTCAGTTGTAAGCTTGTGATAAGTCAGAACGCTTCTGTGCCGTGACAGGAGCAGACTCGCTAGAAGTTATTGCTTTCTACGAAGCGAACAAAAATATTGAAACATAAACCGTTCGACCATTTTCAATATTGCTTTAACATTTAGCTTCTGCCATGATATTTTCCCACCACTTCCTCGCGCTTGGTTCTCTCATTGCTCCTGGTGGAGCACAGGCCACCAACAACGTGTCTCCTGGCTTCATTCCGCTGTCCTGAGCTAGTATCTGCAGCTGCGTCCAGGTCCACCCGATCGTCTGTGCTTTCCAACATCCCGCACTAGGTGTTTGTTGGCTTGTTACCCTTCCGTTGACGCGGAGTTATACTGGAGGACTGTCCAGGCAATGCTAGTTGCTGGTTTCCAAGCCGTGTGACCCAGCCAGTTCCATCTGTTTCGGTGAACCCCTTCATTAACTGGAACGTGTTCTGCTATTTTCCATGAGTCATCTTTGCGGATATTCTCCGGCCAGTAGATTCTTCTTACTTATTGATGAATATTACTTTAAACGAAATGATTTCTTAGCATAATTGTAACCCCTAAGCCTACCAACAGGATGATCTGTTTGGTGTAATTGACATACATACATATCCTTTATTTAAACACGATAAGATTTAAAGCTCAAAGCTTGTGGGGTCGTGTAAAACTTGTTACTAGTTCGCAATTGTGGCGACAAAGTCCTGCTCGTGCGCATATATTATGCGATCATCAGGGGTATAAACTGGCCTTATGAAAATAGACTATTGAACCAATTACGGACAACGGGATAATCCGCGACAGCATCAGTTTTATACAAATATGGTGAAGTGTCGAAAAATTTAAACAAATCATGTAAAACATATGACTTAGTGGTCAAGAAACAAAAACGAAAATTTGTCCACAGCCGGGAGGCAAACAGGAAAAACGTTCACAAATCAATAGTGGGTTCGATATTTCGTTTTAAATTTCGAAAGTTGCGTGCTATGATGAACAGTGCAATGTTGACTGGATTTATTAACCAAGCGTATATTACTACAGAGAGTATACAGAATTATTGTGGAAACTAATCAGTTTTTCTTGTTTAACGTAGCTACGAGACATGCTTTTGGTCACGAAAAAAGAAAAGGACAGGGGCACCCAACGAGCCTTTTCTCTCAAATGCTTTTAAACGCTGTTTTAGGCTATCTGGAGTACTTTTAAAGCTCCGTATGTTAATTTAAGGTTGCGCTAGAAAAATTTTACCTGTTCGGTTATTCTAGGGGAACTTGAGTATTCTCGAATTTATTAGGGCTTTTCTGTCCATTCCCCGAAAACCTTAGGTCTTATCACCTTTCCGAAAATGATAGCCGACCTTTTTTCGGTACTCAAAACGACTTTTTTTAACAACCCGAAAACAACAGACATTAAATTTCTCATATCACAAAAGTTCGAAGTGACAATTTTCTTCAGAAAATCAGAGGGGATTAAAGGCGTTCCGAACAGATAATTTACCGAAACGATCC